AAAAAAAAAAAAAAAAAAAGAAATCTCTAAGGAAATAAAAAATTATACTCTCTACTTCCATCTTAATGATACAAATCTGGGAATTCCACTTAATTAAGAGTAACAGGTTATTTACAGCTTGGTCTTATCTATAATTTGAGTCTGTTTATCAGAGAAGTGTTTTGTCTGATGTTATCACTGTTATCAGCTGTCACTTGGTTCGTTGATTCCAGAATTCACATTCACAAGATTTCTTGGTTTTGGTATTAATTTGCTGAATGCATCACACATGATATCTGTATTTGAAGGAACCAAAGGGAAGGGGGGGGGGGGGGGGCTAAAGGCACTTCCCTGATCTCAAATATTTTTCTAAATGATAAAACAGCCCTAAAACACAAACACTCACTCACACACCAATTTTACTCCCTTGCCTGATTCATCTTTGCTGTTTCTCTCTCTTTACATATATATAACCAAAGGATTTGAAATGAAACATATTTTCTTTTTAAAAACTTAAAAAGAGTAACCTTCATTTATATGACACTATTTCCAGGTAGTCCCTGAGCAGTGCAATAAACCATGACTTAATCTATTTGTACATTACCCTATTTCACATGAGAACTTTTTTCCACTGTGTGAGCTTCAAAAGAAGATGTCTTCAACAGCAGAAAATTATGTGAATGTGACATGCAATAAAAGCACTACACCTTGATATCTTTGTCTGCTATTGTATGAGTCCACCTGCAACACATCATAAGTAGAAATCCAGAACTCCTCAATTATTTTCAAACTGGAATCTTAAGTTTTTGTGATATGAAAATGCTTGATTAAACTGATTTATTTTTTCAAAATAAAGATCATCCCCTTTTGCTACTAAAAATTACTTTTTTATTGTAGAACAGTTTCATGTAATAGACTTGTGAAGTCTCTTTTGTCTATAGCTACTTATATTTGTCTGGTCTCATTCCCTGATGAAGTCTGTCTGCAAGCAGACAAAATATTGGCTGGTAAGACCAGACAAAAATAAGTAGCTACAGACAAAAGAATCTTCACAAGTCTACTTTTTTATAATCTTATTTTCAAAATGGATTCAATTCACATATTATTATCAATTATTATAAAACTACATTTGATATAACACATACTACTAATTGGTAAATTTTGCATACAACCATTATAATGTATTACACTTCATAATATTGAGGAATTTTATTAAAATTCCTTCTTCCTAATACAACACGATAAGCCAGCAAAATCAAGTAATGGCAGATAAAAGCGTGGGTGAAGATTGAAGTATGTTTACAAAGCTCTAGTACGATGCCAGGATAAACTGGATACCAAACCATCCAAACAAAACACTGGACCCGAAAGGATTAACTTGTCTGGCTTACGCTATCATACGAAGTAACACCAAACTTTGCCAAACATTATAAAATTCATATTTCTTCAAAGTTTTTTTAGATATGTTTCAGAATCTAAGAAAATATTGTTAGTTAAAAAGTATACCATTTTTAAAGACTATGTTTCAAAACTTCACCAAAGGGCCTTGCAATTGATCACCATCATTGCTGACTTGTCTATTTCACTTTTGGTTCTTCTTCATCATGATGCATCACAAATCATCTTCCGTACATGTTATATATATATAGTTTCAGTTCTTTTTCTTTCTTTTGCCACATCATGTTAAAGCTCAATAATAAAAGCAGATATCAAGTCATGGTGACAGGTTTTTCAGTCCATGGTACTGTCAACACAGGTATTTCAACATTCATGTATTTGAGAACTGATGAAAAAGACCGATCGACCTGGTTTTATGCAAGGGCATGAAATAGATATAGAAACTAGTTTTTAGCACAGTAATAGAAAACCCAATACAAATAGATGTTGAGGAACTGCCTTTGATGACAAAAGACTGGAGAAAATCTTTTTATCTCATTGAAACTGCCTTAAGCTTTACTTACTTCATGTTGTCTGATCCATTTTTCAGTACTTACTCAGGTACTAGTAAACATTATTAATTCAGTTTTTTTTTCTATTGTGGTCCTGCACTCTTCCTCTAGTGTGCATTCTGTTTATAAAGTAAATACTTTATTATCATGTGGTATGTCATAATATTGTATCGACATATTGTATTCACACCAGTTTAATGAGACAATGTTTTCTTGCCACTGTGCACTGTCACAAATTTCTATTGTCTTTCACTCACTGCAATTTATGGGGGGAAAATACATGCACGATTAAAGGAATGGAACTATACTGCAATTAGTAAATGCCTAGCCAAGTGTCATTTCAGACTTCCAAAATTTCAGAGGCCACTATATTATTATAAATTTCTATCACTTCCTAAATATCTATTTTAATAATCAAAATTATAAAAAAAAGTGCAAAGTCATACAGTAACTAGTTGTTTTTGCAAGAAACTCTTATACATCTAAATTCAATGATTGTTTCTGACAGGTGGTTATGCCAAAGCAATTTAACAAAAGAAGGGCCAATTTGTCATAATGTACATGGTCACAGAAAAATTGGAATTCTGTAAGGGTATTTACGAGAGACCTTTTCTTGGCATTACTGTAA